TGGCTGCTGAGACCTGGTGCCCTTCGACCGCCTGGCTGATCCGGTGAGTTGTGCGGGGCGCGGTTTCCGGGCCAGAGCAGGGCACCCCCCCTGGCGTCTGGGCAATTAGGACGGGACCTAAAGGAGCCCTAGGCTGTTGGCGGTCCCAAAGCAGCGGTGCCCCCTTGTCCACCGCTTTCCCTCCTACACACAACTTGTTAAGACGGGCCAGCGGCTGGAGTGGAGGTGGGGGGCTCGATGTGGGGGTTCCACAGGGCTTGCGCAGGGCGGATGCCAGAGAGGAAAGGTCATCCCACCCCTAAAGCTAACAAAGGTAGAAACTCCGTCGCCCTAAAATTCCCAAGAACTCTCGTGTCTTGGAAGGGCTGGGGGAGGGGCGCCCAAATGGGCCGGCGTTGAGGGTCTCCGGAGTGGCCTCTAAGATCTTCAAAGGACATCATCACAGAGGAGGTGGGGTCCCTGTCACACGGATGGCCGCGTTTGAGGCTTCTGCCCCCCCGGGGCTAGACCTTAGCAGGGTCCGCCTTAGCTGCGTTCCCACAGATAACTTGTGGGGACCGAGGGTTCCCCAGTGGGGTTGTGGTGTGACGTCACTGCCCCGCCTCTGACGTCACCGGGGTTGCCTTGGTGACTCGACTTGCCCCTTGGCTGGAGGGGGCGGGGTCGAGGTAACCAGGGGCGGTGCTGGATGCCTTCCTGGACGGGGAGGGGTGGGGCAGACTCCCCCCCACACCCCACTGTAGGCCTCTGACCTAAATCCCTAGCGCCCCATAGGGTGGGGGAGGGAGGCCGTGCCAGCTGTCCCTGCTGATGCTCCTCCCCCCAAGGACAGGTGTTCAGAGCTTTGCCCGTGTAGCAGTGCCCTAGCAGTGCCCGTGCCTGTGCTGGGGTGGGGGTGGCGGACTGGACTCCCAGACAGAGCAACTTTCTGCTTTGGAAAGAAATGCTACAGAGGAGCCCTCCTGCCCACTGGATAGGCAGCTAGCAGGCCCAAGTCCCCCAGGGTCTCCAAAGAGATGTGGGCCTCCACCTTCAGACAGGCCACTTCTCAGGAAAATGGGGTGTCCCCTCCCAGCCAGGGAAAGCGCAGAGGAGCTACTTCTCCTTTAACTCCAGGAGATCCCTTGCTGTTCAACCCCAAGGTGAGGGCTCTGGGCCAAGCCCCCACTGACGTGCCCCATTCTCCTTTGGGTGTTTAAGACTGTGACATGCTCAGTGTGGTGTTCACTGAGTGAATGGGAGGCAGGGCAGGCCCATCAGTGCCAAGGTCGAGATAAACGGTGTCCCTGCCAGGGGCCTGCTTTGGTGCGTGCCAGGTGCCAGCCCCATATTTCCCACCACACCCCAGCACGACCCTGATCCCTGCCAAGGTCCAGAGAGCCCCAGCCGACATCCCCTGCTGCCTCCGCGATTCCCCTAAGCCCCTTTCAGCAAGCACTGCTGGTGTCGGGTGTGGGTGCAACTGCCGTGATCACGTTTCTAGGAAAAGGTTCGAAAACTGTGTCATTGCCTCGGCATCACGGGGAAGGGGGCGCGGAGTGCGTGCATGGTCGTTGGGAGAGGGCAGGCCGCAGTCTATGCAGCCGGCATTTTTCCTGTTCCCCTACGAGGCTCTCCATCTAGATTAACAGGTCAATAAATATCAGCGGAGCTGCTTCTGGGGGCTTGGCAGGGAGATGGGATTTCCAGCTGAAATGGTGTCGTTAAACACACACGCTTCCCAAGACAGGGGCAGGGGAGCGGCAGCAGATTGGGGGAGGCCCGGGCGAGGTGGGCAGGAGGGCTGTTTGCGCTGCCTCTCGAAGCTTCCCAGTTTAGAAACAAACTCGGAGTGCGCGCCAGAGATCCACAAACACAGGCGGTTGGAGGCCCTCCGTAGAGTATTTACACTTCCACAGCCAAGGCGGAGGGGAAGGCTGTCAGAATCGGGCAATTCCTTCTGTTCCCTTCCCTCGGCTCCCTGGGCTTGGCAAGTGGTGCCAGACGACGAGCAGGAGGGAGTGCCAGCTTACCCAGCGTCTCCCGTGGTGCCAGGCAGTACCTCTGCTACTCCTTGGAGTGGCCTACGAACCATGGCCCACCTCACAGATGCGGAAACCGAGGCCACGGCCAAGGGAGGGATGACCTGCGGGTGTCCAGCCAGGCTGATGCAGAGGTTCCGCTCTGAACTGACCTGGCTCCGAAGCCCCAGGTCTTCCCACCCCCTTCCACAGGTACAGGGAAGGCACCTCACTCCTCCTTGTCAGACACGGGTCCTTGCCTGAGTCCAGGGCTGTCACTGTGGGGGGAGTCTGGCCCCTCCAAGATGTCTTGTCCACACTGAGACCCAGATTTGAATCCCGGCTCCCTGTTACCTACAGGGTCATGTTGAGCAGAGTAGCAGCAGCTGCCTTGGCCTCACCGTCAACCCATTCCCCTCAACCGTGGGCCCCTTTTGGTCAGCAGTGGGGGAGAGAAGGTGTGGCATGAAGCCTGCCTGCCAGGGAGGGTTTTCAGGTGGTCCTAGGTTCCTGTCACCTGCCTCTCTGGGCTTGCTTGGAGACAGCGGTGAGGCTGCCCCCAACCGTCCCAGGACCGCCCTGGTAGGCACTCAGTGGGTGGGAAGGCAGGATGTAGCCCAAAGGTCAGGAGGGTCCCCGTGGAAGGTGTCCTGCCAGTCTGCAGAAGGACAAGTAGGAATGCACTGAGCAAAGGGACAGAGTGGCTCACAGCGTGCCAGACGTTCGTGCCAGGGTGTGCTTCGTGGGGAAAGGGGTGGCCTTGGCGCGTCTGTGTCCTGAACCGTTAGGTGGGTGAGGGAGGCTTAAGCAGAGATCTGCTGAGAGCCGCCTTGACAAGGCCGGTGACCCTGGACACCCTTCTGGCCAGGGTGGGGGAGGCCTAATCAGTGCTCTGGGCAGTCTCCTCTCAAGGTTGGCGCCCCACGCCCAGTAATCCTCCTCTCCTGCCTAATTCGGCTAAGCTGGCCCATCCCTAGCCCTTCTGAGCCTCAGGGTAGCTCTGAACGCTGGCTAGGCTCGGTTAACCCTCTCCACCAGAAATGTGAGGCTCCCCAGTGAGGAGCAGTTGCTCCTGGTTAAGAGCCAGGCTCTGGGGTGGGTCAGGTCCGACTGTCACTCCCCAGCCCATCACTTCCTGGCTGTGTGACCTAAGGTGCTGACCCTTGCCTCTCTGAGCCTGCGTTTCCTCCTCTGTGGGAAGGATCCGCTCACAGCACCCCTGGCCCAGGCGGGTGGTGAGGTCAGCGAGGGCTAAGTGCAGGGTGCAGGCGGTGTGTCCGGTGAGGGCTGGCAGACACACACTCATGGTCAGCTAGCCTTGGCCTCAGAACCGGGCCTCAAAGGGCCCAGTCCTTCGGAGCCAGAGGTCAAAGACCCCAGTTGCGCAGGGGCCCCCACCCTTCCAGCTGCCTCTGCAGGGGCACCTCTACCCACTGGGGCCTCCATGTGGGGAGCACAGGTGGCCCCCATCAGAGCTGGAGTGGGGTGGTTGGGGCCTGGTCAGGGCACCCCTCCTCCAGCTCCCTTCTGTCCCCTGTGCCTTCCCACCCCCCACAAACCGAGGAAGCGAGCAAAGCAGCTCATATCCATGAACCGTAATTCAATCAGGCGGCGATTCCTCTGGGCTCGGGCGGGGGTGAGAACGAGGAGGCTCGCACAAAAGGGCCGCTTTATTACCTCCCGCGGGCGGGCGGGAATTGCGCTGTCCCCCAGCCGCGGCCGGAGCAGCCTTCATTGTGTTAACCCATTTGCGTGTCAAAAGCGATTGTTGGCTCTCCCCGCC